AGAGAGAGAGAGAGAGAGAGAGAGAGATTCGATTTATTTAATTAATTAAAGAATCAACTAATTAATTTATTGATTGATTGATTGACAGTACAGAAGATAAGAGATCAATTATTGAGTTACAGATTAATCAATTAATTTTTATTGTATAATATAATTACAAATTACAAACCTTGAGCAATTCACGGAAGTAAGGGCTGCAGGCTGAGAGCACAACGCGATGAGCTTTGAGACTCTTGCCATCGCAGGCCAATGTGACGTCTACAAAGTCCTCATCGTCGCGTAAATTTTCAAACGCCGACGTTATACTGCTCTGGTAATTATTCCATCGCAGGCAAAAGTGTTGCGTATCTACCATTGTTATTTTTGTTCACCTAAAACACAGTCAGAATTTTTTATTGTTAAAAATAAAAATTAAAAAAGTTATTGTCAGTTCTAACTATGTACTTGAGTTTTAGAATGAATTTAAAGATTGGGCCCGGAAAAATTTGTATATAAATAATTTCAAAAATTATTTTATTAAATGAGCATTTTTTCCTATAGTAGAAAAAAAAAAATTGGGTCGTCATTCTGGCGCCGAGCCAGAAAATACGATTAAATGGCTGGTTACTTATAGAACTGCAAGTACAAAATGTCTACTGATAACTATTATCTCGGCGAAATGATAAAAAAAAATCTGAAAATATAAATTCACTGGCTGAACCTTTAGTCGCGAATTTAGATGTCGTATACATTTATATGCTCGCATACATCGTCCTTATTCATAAATTTGCACATTCAACATGGAAATTTACACGCACATTATTATTTCTTTAAAAGTAAATCCTCAAAAATAAATAAATAACATAATCATTATTAAAAATGACAATGAACTTTTTATTAAAATATTAAAGAAAAAAAAATATCTTCATTCATAAAATTTAGCGACTTTGAATAAAGTTATTTAGTTTAAAATAAATTTAATTGCACCTATAGCCTGTACATAAGTTACTTAAAAGTTTTTAATTGAAGCGATATAAAAATCTTAGAATGCTTGAAGACAAAAAATACAATACCTCAAATACTTGTGCAGTTTGTAAAATAACTACGAAGGCACTTTCACTGCACACAGAATGAATATTAATAAATAACTTTCGGCAAAACTTATTCTTATATTAACGTCTTGACAATTCAATATTGAATTCGATAATAATTACAGTTATTAACAATAAAAAAAAATGCATCCTCGTTACATAGATCTATCACTAATCATTATCACACAATTAATAATATGTAACCTTTACATGTAAGTGATATAGTCGCTCGGCTGTCTCTTATTTAAACATTAATCAATTGAGTACACTTCACAGCTCCGGGTTTTTTTTTTTTAGTTTTTTTTTCTATTCTTTAACAGCGCTAATTCAAACAAAAAGAGATCGTTATTTGGTATGGTCAAAAATTCACTTAATTTTATTTTTTAAATAAAATTACACACAACTGTAAATAAAACTAAAATAAATTTAATTTAAATACGCGATAAATCGTTTTCGCGCCAATGCATAAAATTAAAATTCACAGTCGAGTTTTAAAACGACAAAGTGTGTTATTGTTTCATACTTTTCACGTCTTTTATTTTATTTTATTATTAAATAAAATAATTATCAAATAAATAAATAAATGAATCGATGAAAAATACTATTAATATTATTCAGCGTAGTATTAATTAAATGCGCGTAAGTATTAATGGTTAACTAGTAGATGTGGACGCCGCGAGACGAGTAGTAAGAGTAATAATGAGTAAACCGCGTGGCCAACCAACAGTTTGTATCCTGCTCGCGCAACCACCCATGTCTCACATCAGTCACACCGGCAGAACTAACCCCCGAAACTAAACGTCACACAGCCGAAACTACGGCGACGTCTACGTCGACGACGACCTTCCCGCTTATAGCTGAGCATCGAGGATCCCCACGAACGCGCCCGAAAGACCACGAAATATCGCGAGCGAATCCAATACAACCGCACTTTATAAAATACTACTTACACAGTACAGAAAAAATTTTAATGTTCAGCATTTAAAGAATTAACCAGATTTAATTATGACAACCAATTTTAAAGATTTTAAAAACTAAAACGAACTATTTTTTTAACTAAAACATTTTAACAAAGACAACAATATTATATTGAATAATATTTTTTTTTAAATAATAATCTAGTGTAATGGTAATGAGTAAAAAAATAAAACACGCGGTTAATATGATACGAGCCAAGAAATCGAATGAATGACGAAGATAAGATACAGAATAAAAATACTGTGGGTTGTATATTTTTTATATAAATGTATGTAAGTATGTATGATATTATTTTATTTATTACTAACGCACGATTATATACATATATTTTTTTTTTGACCTCAAGCACCTGACGGATTTGCGCGTAATCGCTCTCATTTTTTTTTTATCTCATCGCGATTACTACTTGTGTTAGATGACTGTCTCTAACCTCTAAATCGCCTTACGTTTAAGTTAATTATTTTTTATCTATGCTATTTTGTTTTGTTCCAAGCGATACGTGTATTAATATTCCCCGACGGTCTGTTGAAATTCTAATCACCCGAGAGTAAAAATAAAGCCCGTAGACCACAAGTTATAATAAGTAATTATAATTTTAATTTATAGTATTAGAACTGAGAGAGAATAAGTGAAAAAAATTAGCGCTAGCACCTGTTTTAAAAACAGATATTGTATGTAATCCAAAAAGATATAATTTAGTCACTTATATCCTCTCAGTTGAAACCCTTTGAATTATAATTATTGCAAATGCAAGTGAATTGAATTTTATTAAGCAAAGAGCTAATGTAGCCCAACAAAGCGGGATTAAATGAGAGACTAACATTGCGATTTGCGAGCCTCGGGCGTTTTAAATTGCGAGGGTGTCGTTTGGTGTCGTCAGACAGACTAAGACTGGATAGGATAGTTTGGATAAAGTCGAGATCGAAAAAAAAAAAAAAACTATAGAAGATTTACGAATAGCTGGGCAGCCGTTTTTCTGGGTAGTGGTACGAAAAAAAGGAACCTCGATACCTCGAAAAAAAATGTGTATATCTTAACGTAGATTGTAGACGACAATGGTTAGTGTAAATAAAAATAAAATGATAACAAATAAAGAAAAAGAGAGGTAAAGGTTCTTCTGAACGAATATTTATGTATATGTAGGTACTACTAGTATGGACAAGAGAAGAGCAGGAGCAGCAGCACGGCGTTACGTTGCGAGAGCTGGTGAACCGAGTTAGGACGAGTACTACTAACACCGGTACGGCTCCAGGTCCACGGCGTGGCGTTATTCTTTATCGGCGCATGAGACATCTGTCGTAATAAGTACGGACTAAAAAATAGTGCGTACGCAGAGAGAGAAAGTAAGTGAGCTAAACGAGGGATAGAAATTTTTTTTCGAGTGTAGTGAGAGTAGTATAGCATTATATAGAGTATCTACGCCGCTATATTAGTGTAAGAATAATGCTACACACTACGCCTGATACGAGTCGAGACTCGAGTAGATCCCGAGAGAGTAGCACGCTAAGCGAGCGGGCAAACGCTAAAGACAAGGACAGAGCGCGAGGGGGCCAAACTCACGGGATACCGCTCTACAATACACATATGTGTGTATATATGTATGATACTAACTAAGAACTACAGACTATGCATCGGAGAAAGAATATAATAACTGCGCACACCAGATATATTACCCGAGAAAGATAGAGCAAGAGTCTCGATGGCTGAGAGGCTAGACTGGGTGTAACGTGGAGGGAAGGGAGGTGTAACGTGTGGTGGTAGTATTCGACTCTTTTTTATGTTTCAGCTCAACTTGTCTCTACTCTCTGTCTCTGGTGCACTCTAACACAACAAAGTACAGAAACTCTTGGATGGTCGTTGTATCGCCTACCCGGCAAGGAGATTTAAAACCTCTGCTCACAATTGAGATAAAAATGGCAAATGCGCAAAGCTAACGACTTGCAATTAAAAATGTAGTCACCATTTAAATGATCCCAAAGACGAATATAATATAACATGATGTTGTACTGAAGACTCAAGGAGGAGCTGTTTTTCTTACCGTACATCGTATTCGCGGGTACAGTGCAATTGGGAGCACCAAGTAAAGATGTAAGCAAAGAGCGACGTTAAAAGCATTTTATTCTCCTTGAATACGTCGAGATTTAAATGTCTACGTCATCTTTCTTCCGTTCTTTCTTTATTCTCATTTTTCAGTCTTCAGTCTTACCCAACCGCTGTGCTGGGTCTTTGTTGCTCGAGCTTTAATTTCATACTGGTTATCTCACTCAGACAAAACTTATCTACATTTCTACTTGTTCATCTACTTTAGCTGGGATTCTCGCAAACTCACAAACCGAGTAAAGGCGTAAGTGAGTATATGCAGTACACATATAAAAGAGCACACTTGACTTGGAGGCTGAAAAAAAAATTTCGTCCCTCTTTATATTCGCGGAAAAACGTATCCATATAAATTTTTACCAACACAGAGTACGCCCGAGTCGAAATCTCCAACGTTTTTCCAACGTTTCCAACGTCTCAAACGCGATTCCAACGTTTCCAACGTCTCCAACGTTATTCCAACGTTTCCAACGTCTCAAACG